ACCCCAAAACCCCAAAACCCCAAAACCCCTTCTTTTTAGACTCATGAAATATTAAAATATTAAATCAATTAATGGAACATAATCCAGAAAATCTGAAACAGGATAGCAATGTAAGCTTACATAGCTGCTAAACGCAGCATACTTTTAACCTTTTCAAAGGCGTTCTGTCATCATACTTCTTCTATGAAATTTATCTGTAAAATTATACATTCCAAAATATGAGTTGCGCAATGGTTTCTAAGAGTGATTTATGTATAGAATCAACAAGACCCAAACCCTGATCAGGATATATTCATGAGTAAGTCAATGCGTAATATTGTTAAAAATTTAAGCAATATTATAGATTTTAACTCCGAGGCTGTCTAAAATCATCCTTTGCCCTCTTTTCAGATAGATGGTTTAAGAAATTGTATTCATCCTGTTCTATATAGACCAATTATTGAACCCGAGTAGTTCGAACTCAATAGCCTCTCAGTTAATGACTGGGGATAACTTCTCTCAGCCTTCGAATCAAGCTGAACAAATTCCTGATGAATCAGATGAAGTCCAGCAAAATACTCAGAAAGTCGAAGAAAATAATTTAAATCGGGATGAAAGCTTGAAGAAAGAAACCACTGAGGAAAAGAAAGAAGAGGTTCAAAATAGTAAAAACGAAGAAGCCCAGCCAAATCTAGGCGAGGAGGATGCCAAACTCGGCAGTTCGGGGATCATAAGCTCAGATAGTCCTTGTTCACCCAAAGAAGATAAAGCAGGTGAACCCGACAACAAAAAGGATAATTTAGAAAATGACAAAGTTGAAAAATTAGAATGCCTGGCCAAAGAAAAAGATGAAAATATAAGTCAAGAAGAAAAGAAAGATATAAATTCAAATTTAAATGAAGTCAAAGAAGATCTCGAGAATATACAGCAGATCCAGTCTCATAAAGAAGAATATAACCAAACTCTAAGTGAACCTTCTAAAGAATTGAAGGAAGAGACAGGTGAGGAAAAAGAAGAAATTAATGAAAACACTTTACAAAAGGAGGACCTTCTAAACCAAGACCAACTTCAGGCAAATGAAAATGAAATTTCTCAATCGAAGGAAGAAGTTCCTTGCGAGGAAGAAACTGAGCATGTAGAAGAACCTGCTATTGAAGAGTCACAACCCACAATAGAAGATTCTACCAATTCTTGTAAAATCGAAGAGACTAAAAATGCTCCTGAAGGAGAGATACATAAAGAAGATAATTCTGAGTCTAAAGAGCATCAACAGCTTAATGAAGAAAGATTAGAAGATAAAGACATTTCAACTGAGATGTCTCAAGAAGTAAATACTGAAGTTGAAAAGCAAAAATCAGACCAAGATGATCATGAGAAGAAGTCTGAAGAACCTCTAAAAGAGCTAGGAAAGGAAGATGAAAATCAAACTCATGAAAATATTTCCCAGACAGAAAGTGATCAAACTCAACAAATTTCACAAGAAGAAAAAGCAGAACATAAAAATGAAGCCTCAGAAGCTCAGAAAGAGGTTCAAGAAGAAATAAAAGGAGATCTTTCCCAAGAAAAGCAAGAAGTTTCAGAAGAGATGAATGAGGAAAGGAATGAAGAAGTCTCTGAAGATTTGAAAGAGAAAACACTTTCTGTTGATAATAAGAATTCAAATCAAGAATTAGAATCAGAAAATCAAGAAGAGATTAAAGAGAAAGTTGAAAATGATGCTTTGGAAGAAGTCCACCAAAAATCAACTGAAGTTAATCCTAGCCAAGAAACTGAGGCAACAAAAGAAGAAAACATTGAGCATGACAAAAGTGCAAATACCCAAATAGCCCTTGGGGTAGAAGCCTCAAGTGGTGAAAAAGTTTCTGAGGATGAGACTAAAGAGGATCGGTCTGAGTTAATTGAGAATAAAGACTTTCCACAAGAAGATCAACTTCATACTGATAATCACTCTGCTAAATCCCAAGAGGATCAACTGCAGTCTGAAGAGGGCAAAATTGACAAGAAGCCTATAGAAGGAACTCAAATTTCTGAGTCTGTCAGAGAAAATAAAACTGAAACTGACGAAATATCTAATAAGCATGAGGAAACTAAAGAAGAGGAATCTCAATGTGCAGAAGTTAAGGCTCAACCTATTGAAGAGGCTCAAGTGAAGTCACTTGAGCTAGAGCTAAAGCAGAACAAGATTGAACAAGAACAGAATTCAGATATGGAAGAAATTGAAGTAAACAAAGAAAGTTGAGAGCAACTCTTAGACGATGAGTTTAATGAACCAAACCAAGAGGAATTAAGCAAATCCATAGTCTCAAATAAAGAGTCTGATCTCAAGGAAAGCAAAGTCGAATTAGAGAAAGACCCCAAAACTGAAATCAAGGAAGAAATAAAAGCTGAATTCAAAGACCAGACCCAACTTGAATCTAAAGAAAAAGATCTTCCACAATCTCAAGAAGGAGATAAACCTTCATTAGACCAAGACGAAGGCAAAGAAGAGGAACCTATGGCAAAAGATACTAACCAAGCATATGAAGATGAAAGTATTACTAATCAGATAGAAGAAAAGCAAGATGGGAAAGCCCAAATTGATGATGTCGCTCTCATAGAAGATTCAAAACCCATAGAGTCTCTAAAAGAGAATCCAACCGAAGAAAATGTAAAAGAAGATCATGATGATAAACAACTAGAATCAGAGGGAAAGCAAACTATAGATGCTGCTCCTGACGCTTCAGCTGCTTCTGCTCAAGAAATTTTAACAACTGAAGAAACTGTTGAGAAGCAAGAGCCCTTAACTGATAAACCTGGTGAAAACATTCAGTTAGACTCAAATAAAAATAAACAAGATGAAGAAAAAATTTTGATTGAGAATAACCTGGAATTAGAGGAGAAGGACAACAATCAGCCCATGCAAAAAGATGAAACTCAGAAGATCGAATCTGATCAAGAGCAACCTACTACAGAACTTGAGAGGCAAGACCAAATAGAGGAGAGTGAAAATAAGGAAGCTGAAATAGCGAAGAAGAGTGAATCCCAAGAAAAACCAAAAGAAGAATTAAAAGATGCAAAAGTTGGGAATGCTCAAGCAAACGATGCTCTTCCTAATGGAGATGATACTTCAGAGAAAGCCGAAACTCCAGATGTTCAAGAAAATCTTCATGCCAAAGATACAGAACCAGAGGGTCAGAATGTTGGTGAAAATCAAGAGAATAAAATCAAAGATGGAGAATCTATTTCACCAAGTCATTCTGAAGTTGCACCTAAAAAGGAGTTAAAGCAAGACACTTTAGTTGAGAAAGAAAAGCATCTTGACGATGATATTAAAGTGGAGACTCCAAAACCTTTAGTTGAAGACTACAAACTTGTTGGAGATGATCCAACTGACGAAGTCAAAGATGCTGAAGATAAAGAGGAAAATGAAGATAATGAAATTTTCTTATCTTCTCATCAAAAAGAAGAAGATAAAGAGGTACCTTTACCTGGACCTAGAGATGCAGAGACAGAGTCTGAGAATGGCGAGCTTAATTTATCTCATTTAAAAGAGCAATCTTTTGAAGGAAATCTTGAATCCCAACTTGATAAAACCATCACTTCAGCTAAGAAAGATTATTTTAATTTATCTGAATCTGATAGAGACCTACAACAATTTGAGCAAGGGAAAGAGCCAGATTCAGAGGAGTTTACTCCAAAGAAGTTGAGTCCAGAATTTCAGTTAAATGATGACTCTGTGCCAGGTACTAAGCTCTTAAAATTCTAACTTATCTAGAAACTGACCATCCTACCTGCCAACCTAATCCAAATTTATTGCAAGACAAAGGCTTAGTAGGAAGTGAAGAGAAGACTCTCAAAACTATTGAGCCAGATGCTCAGAAACTGTCAGAAGAAAAGATTGATAAAGAGCATCCTGAGAGTACAAATGAGCCTGAAGCATCTATTGGAAATTCTGAAAATGAAGACAAAGATTTACAGTCCAAGGATAAACAGGAAGATGAGAAGCTCGAGGATATTAGTGCTGAAAAGAAAATAGTGGTAGAGGAAAAACCACAGAATCTTAAATCCATTGCTAAAAAGAAAGAGATTGAAGAATTTAAGAAAGAACAAGATGAAGAAATTATAGAGCCTGCTATAGAACTACACGACCTCCCTGGGGAAGAAGCTACAATAAAAGGTTCTACTGGATACAACTTAGATAATTTAGAGGAATTAGAGAATGCTATGATAGAAGAAAGCAAGAAGCCTGCACCAAAAGCTAAGAAACTAAAAACCTTTATGAAGAAGCCAAGTTATAAACCAAAGAAGCCTATCGACAAAGACCAGAAGCTTGATCAAGAACTTAACTTGATCAACCTCACTAAAGATGAGGCTGAAAAGAGAATCTCTGCTTATATGTCTTCCATGATTCTCAACAAGCTGAAATCCCCAAAATGGGAGAGTAAAGTTATTGGAATTCAATGGATGCAAGAATGGATCGTAGAGAATGAAGTGCCTCCAGATCTTACTGAATATGCTTTTAGAATCCTTAAAGGTTCGCTAAAAGAATGGAAAGAGAAGAACACTAATATGATTAAATCTGCTATGCAGTGCATTCATACAATTCTTTCCTCGGCTACAAGGCTTGGTAAAAGATCTATAACTATTTTGGTTCCCTTTATTTGTGAAAAATTGGTTGACAATCTTGTCAAAGATCAAGCCCTGGAGTCTATCTTACTTTGTGCAGAACTGAACAACGAATGCTTTGGCTCTATTAATCACACAATTAAGCAACTCACAAAATATGGACCTAAGACATCAAATAGCATGGTTGTAAAGGAGATTTTCTCATGAATTCTACTGATTGTTGATTCTTTTGGCGGTACAAATATTCAGCTTGATGGATTATTCAAGTTCATTGTCCTTGGGTGCAAAAATAAAGCTGCTGAAATTAGGAATGAGGCTATCTTAGTTATCAAGCAATTCTATCCAATCTTCGGATATGATATTCTCTCATATCTCAATGATATTAAACCTTCTACAATGGCTGTAATTAATCAAGAGCTTGATACTATACAACTTCCAGAGCATTTGTTAGCAAAGAAAGCAGCAGACGACGCTAAGAGAGATGCAGATGATGCTAAAGGAGATTTCCAGGATGATAAAGAAGAGAATTTGCTCTCTTCATCAGAGAAAAATGTATCTGATGAAGAATACTATAAAGAGGAGCATACACATTTGACCTCTTCTCAATTTGATGACCAACATTTGAGTGTTGATAATCAAGAGCACTGTTATGCTTCTTTTGAGAATACCAAAGCTAAATCTTTGGAATCGTCTTCACAAAATTCTAAAAGAGATGAAGAGGAGCTGCCTCCTAAAACTGTTGAGAAACCTAAGAGAAACTCAAAGCTTAGAAAATTAAGCCACAAAGAAAAAGAGCCTGAAATGGAATATTTGAAAATTCTCGATGTTGGCAATAAAGATCTGAGAGATAAGAAAGATGCCAAAGTGATCTGGACTCCCAATGAGCTCAGATCTGATGTTACCAAGAATATCAGGAGTCAGATCAAGTCTGCATTTGGAGCTCAATTTGAAAAGGATTGCTATTCTGATGACTTCAAGAAACACATAGCATGCTTAAAATTGTTTGAGACTTGATTTGAGTCTGACTATGAGCAAATAGATCACTTCTTCTGTGTAATTGATTTGATGTTAAAATGGATCTTCATCAAAGGATGAGAAGGATCCAATATCAACACCAAGTTCCTCATTGAAATCATCAACTTCTTGAATGCTTTGGTAGACTTCTGAGATACTGAAGGCTATGGATTAATGGAAGCTGAAGGGATTGTGTTGGTCACATTCTTGATAGACAAAGTCTGAAACACTAACGCTTCTATTAGAGAGAATATCAAAGACTTGATTTTGAAGATTAGTTCCAATGAAGCATTGTACCCTCCAAAGGCTTCCTTCAAATTAATAATGGCTGGAGTTCAAAATAAAAACTCAAAAATTAGGAAGGAATGAATGGATATTGTTTCAGAACTCCTTGATGATCTTCAGGAAGATTTATTTACTTCAAAAGATGTCAAAGTTATAATCAAAGAAGTAGATTCTAAAGATAAAAACTCTAGAAGTAGTGCACTTGAAGCTTGTGTTTCAATTTATAAGCTAATAGAAGAAAAATTTTGGTCAATGGCAGGCAAGAATATCAATTTAAAGGTTAAGGATCTTATTACTACCAAGATTGCCTCAATTCCTAAAGATCAAATTGGAAGAAAAGCTGTAAAGAAGAAGCCAAAAATAGTAGTTAAGCATGTAACACAAACAGAAGAGAAGAAAGAAAAGCCTGTTGCACCTGTCACTTCTCAAAGATTATCCCAACTTCCTCGCCCAACCAAAGGAATTCTCAGCGGGAACAAATCTCTGAATGTGAGCTGAAATTCATTGGAAGAATCAAAGACGTCTAAAGCTGCAAATAACCAAGGAAGTGCGAACGCTAAGACTTTTAAAAAGTTTATTAGAAAAGGTAAGTAATGTTTAATCAAATTTTAGATCAACAAAAGAAGACATTTGTGAAACCAAGTCTGTCTAAAAGTTTGAAGAAACCTTCAAAAGCACCTACAGCAGCAGCCCACAAAGAGGAAGAAGAATATGATTGAAAACATTTTGATGTAAACGTCACAGAAGGTATGATTTCTGAAGTAACCTTTAGCTATCTTAGATGCTCAGCCTGTTGAAGAGATAGTGGATTTCAAAAATCTTGATAAAATAGGGAAAATAATTAATGTCATTCTTAGCGGCACTGTAGAGGAGAAATTTGAATCATTAGTGCTATTTAATGATATAATTGCAACAAGTCTGAGCAGATATGCTAAAAATTTAATTGACAACGCACAATTTATTTCGAGAACATTCTCTGATGTTCTTGATGGACTTTTTGAAAGGATTAACGAATTCCCTCCAAAATTCTTGAAATATCTAGTGCTTGTCTTTAAGAGATGACTCTGAGTTGATTTTATAGTCAGAGAAATCTCCCAAGAAGAGCTCACAATTCTTATTGAAGTAAGAAAGTTGTACTTAATAAATAGATTGTTTTGCTAAAAATCCAGCCGTCTTCTATCAAGAAGATTGACGATTATACAATTGGTCAAGAAATCTTAAAGGATTTGAACTCGATAATGAAGCAGATATTTGAGTACAGCGAGCCATCAACTTGCTTCTACGCTCTACTTGACTTGTCAAGGAAGTACGACCATCTATATGAGCAAAGCCAGATGAGCAAGGTTCTTTCTAAATGCCTTTTGAAAATATCCAAGAACATTCAGTCTAATTTTGGCAAACTGAATGTTGAAAGAGTCATCCTGATGCTTCATAGATATTGATTAAGATACTCAGAAAACATGAACAGATTTGCTAAAGGTATGCTCAAAACTTAACCAAGCTTTAGAGGGCAAAGAAGGCAATAAAAACGGACTTATGGCTGGTAAGATTCATAAATTTAACTAATTTAGCTAAAAGCATAGTATATGAGCTATGAAAGCAGACAAAGTCAGATTTCTGGGATTATTGCATTGCATTGAATGCACATCCTCAGGAAGACAAGCACATACAGCTTTGGGCTAAACTGATCATTCAGAAGTTACAAAGAAAATAATAGATATTCTTAGGAAATATTTGAATTTTAATTTCAATTAGTTAATTGATATTTGGGGTTTTGGGGTTTTGGGGTTTTGGGGTTTTGGGG